GGTTTCTTCAGTAAGGTATATTTAAATACCTTTTTCATTTCATTATAAATCATTTCCCAGAATGTCTTAATCCTTGGGCATGTCCACCAAAGGTGAAAGAATGTACCTTCAGTCTCATTACATTTCCAACATTTATTGTCGGGCAAATGGTAAATTTTTGCAAGCTTGACTGGTGTCATGTACCACCTATAAATCATTTTCATTAAATTTTCTCTTAGGGCATTACATGCCGTGAATTTCATACCTGTGGTCCATAACTGTTCCCAGTCAGCCATCATTATGTTATGTCCAACATCTTGTGCCCATTTAATCATAGCTGATTTCAACAGCAAGTTATACATTCTTGACAAATTCTTGATTTTTGGTTCTAACAATTCTGTTTCCAATTTTGATTTTTCCACCTGGAAACCAACTTTTTTGTCCAGATTGTATGCCTCCATTATTTAATAATAATGGAGCCAATCTCGCACTCTGTTTTTCAATTTTTCAAAGCTCTGCAATTTTAATCTGTCTCCATCTTGTTCCAAAATTTCCCAATATTTTGGCCATTTGGCCTCCATATTGAGTTTTTTTCTGTGCCTTCGCTTCCATTGGTGACAACCATCTTGGGGTTTCTTTTCTAACAAATCCTTATATCTTATCCAGACATTAAACAATGCTTTTCTAACAATATGATTTTTAAACGCTTTATGTGCTTTTACCTTATCGTACCACAAGTATGCATGCCAACCAAATACATTATTGAAACCTTCTAGGTCCAACACATCAGTGTTTTCAAGAAGCAGCCATTCTCTCAGCCAGCAAAAAGCAGCTGATTCATAATAAAGTTTAAGGTCTGGCAGGGCAAATCCACCTCTTTCTTTAGCATCAGTTAGTATCTTAAATTTTATTCGAGGCTTCTTGCCCTGCCAGACAAATCTAGAAATATCTTTCTGCCACTTCTTGAAACAGTCCATCTTATCCAAAATTTGCAATGTTTGAAAAAGAAACATGTGTCCAATTCTGGGCACTACATGAGGTGGGCAACTAAGATGATCAAGTGTCTGGAAACCAAGCCTCATGAGGAACGGTTGAGGAAATTGGGTATGTTTAACCTGGTAAAGAAGAGACTGAGAGGATATATGATAGCCATCTTCAAATACCTAAAGGGCTGTCATATGGAGAATGGAGCAAGCCTGTTTTCTCCTGCTCTGGAGGCTAGGACCTGAACTAATGGATTCAAGTTACAAGAAAGGAGATGCCAACTAAACATCAGAGAACATTGGAGAAATGTTGGAGGGTATGGTAGGATGTCCATATTTTCATTGGAGAAATGCTGGAGGGTGTGGAGTTATCTGACCCTGAGCCATCTGAAGGCAATCCTGAGACCTCCGGGGGTAGGGCAGTATATAAATTCTAATAATAATAATAATAATAATAATAATAAATAAAAATAATATAGGGAAGATTTTTTTAAAATGTTTTATGTTTTATGATGTTTTTATATATGTTGGAAGCTACCCAGAGTGGCTGGGGAAACCCAGTAAGTTATGTGGGGTATAAATAGTAAAATTATCATTATGGAATGAGACGTCCCTATTTTCACTGGAGAAATGTTGGAGAGTATGTAATTGTATTCGGTTGAATAAAAAAAAGTGAACTGGTGGATCTTCTCTAGAGCCAAAACAAGTCTACTCTAAATGGAATGAATTGTCCTTCTAGGCCAGAGCTTCAAGGGAGCTGGTAGGAAATATATCTATGGAGATATTTGTATCTCAGGTCTGGCACTGTAGATTAATGTCTGGTTGACTTTTTACAACATTCAGTGCTGGGCATGAATTGAAAGCCTTTCATCAACTTCACAGTTTCAAAATTGGGGGCAAGTATAAATATATAGCATAACATTGTTTAAATATAGCAGTGTGTCTGTTGAACATTTGCCTTGGTCTTCAGAAGACCTTGTGTTCCTCGGCTTCATTCCCCAGTGGAACCACCATATGCATTTTTTCATGATGTATGCGCTATTCATGATTATGCTTTCTTTGACCTAAACACCACTGTTCTCAGTGGGGCTTGCAAGTTGGGAGATCATGTGACAGCACCTTACCGCCACTCAAAATTTCCATATTAGATTCAAATCTCTAGATTCTAAATAGCAAGAATTGGAGGTTTGAAGGGTGAATCAGACTTTTTACTCTTGATAAATCTGCTATAAACCTATTATACTTTTTGGAGCTGTGCTGTTTCTTTGTACTTTTGACCTTTCAGGCTGTAACACTTTATGGTTTATATTTTTGATTTTTGATTATTTGTTTTCTTTCATTTTGTTATGTTTGCACATTTCTTTTGTAATAAATTTTTAAAATGTATTTTAAAAAAAAAATCTACCACAAACGAGATGAAAATGCTAAGCGTTCCCCACCCATGGGGGTAACGTTCTCTAGTTGTCTTACCATTGGCTTACAGAAGCTTCACTGTAATATTAAATACTATTGCAATTTCTAAACGGCATCATTGGAGAAGATTTGGAGGTCTTGGGGGCTACAGGGCGCAGAGAGGAAAGGGAAGGCCTGTAATTTATTGTGTAATGAGGGGGGGAATCATAGACTGTCAACCATTAAGTTTAAACAAACATTCAAATGCATATCCTTAGTCTTGAGATGTCTTGACAGAAAAATTGACAATTTTTTTCTATCTTGTTTTAAATGGATAAAAACGTAAATTTAAAATGCCTGACTTTCCATATCCTAAAAATGCTGACATCTATATCTATATCTATATCTGTGATTTAGTAAAAAAATATGCATATAAATTGATTAAGCAGTTGAATAGTAAGAAGGTGGGCTGCAGGGCTCACATTTGCTAAAGCTGAGTTAACTAATTAATGTTTGTAAAAAATTGTGGGGTGCTTTCTGCAGGAGTAGTGCTCCACCCTAGCAGTTTTAAGGTCATCGTTTTTCTTACTGTACCTTTAATTAGATATGGTAATTACATTCTTGAATATGTGACACTGCTACATTTTAATTCTTTTTGTGTTCCTTAATTTTGAACCCTGCATTTTGACAGCTCAACCTTTATGATTAATGCTTTAAAGGAACCCCTATATGGGTTGCCTGTTAGTGATCTAATTTTGTGCAGGAATGCCTGGGATGTTATGTTGAACTGATTCACCACCCAGGTGGCTACATTTGGACTAAATGAGCTGTGAAGAGTTTCATCTCTGCCCATCAGAGCCTTCCTTCATGGAGCCCCACAGTAAGCAGCCACAGCACCAACATGATTTGTCATAACCCATCAATAGAAAATAAATTATTACCATTCTCACTTGTCAATGGGCTTGTCTCCACTTCAGCTTGCCTAATGATTAGAAGCTCAAAGGGAACATTTCCAGCCTTTGTGGAGCATGATTATGACTGAGCACATTACTCCCCTATGCATCTTGGCCAGTAAAAACACGTAGAGGAAACAAATTAATTGGATGTTTGTGCCAATGATTAGACCATTATTGCACATGAATACTGGAGCATCTTATAATGCTTTAGCAATATTAGTGTGTGCTCCTTTCAGGGTTATAACATATCTATCTACAAAAAGAAACTATATGAAAATATAACTGATTAAAGTGATTTTGGCAAGATGACCTTTCAGGAAGAAGGTAAAGAGAAAGATACATGTATTTAGTAAATATAAAAACACTGCCCATGATCCAGAGGAATGCATTAGGATTCAGTGGTACATGGTGGTTTGCTGCCTGCACAATGGGACTTCCTCTTTCTGTGTCCACTGTCCTCCAATCTTCTTCATGGGGCTGAGGGAAACCAAATTAATGGAATTATGGGGCATGAGGAATACAGGGAGAAAGAGGGAGACGAAATCCCATTGTGCAGCTGGAAGTCCTTGAGCAGGCATCCCCAAACTCGGCCCTTCAGATGTTTTGGAAAAACAAATCCCATCACCCCTGACCACTGTTCCTGTTAGCTAGGGATGATGGGCTTTGTAGTCCCAAAACATCCCGAGGGCCAAGTTTGGGGATGCCTGCCCTTGAGTGAACTGATAAAGGATTGGATAACTCATTTTTTAAAATAATAATTTTAAGCCCCCCCTTCCCTTCCAGTAAAGAAAAATGGAAAAAAGAATGTTTATTTCAGATGGTGTTGAATTCATGTGTTTGTCCTAGTCATTTTAAGAGATATTTTGTAAAGAGAGTATTAAAAAAAAACTTTTTAAAAATACCATAAAAGTTTGGTGGGATTTTCCTGGAGGTGGGGCAATTCCAGGAGACTTTGGGGTGAGATAGAACCTATCTTATTAGCATTTTCATGCATAATATGCTTTTGCTGCAATATGTTTGAGGTTAAACCACAGATTAAGTGGATTACTAGGTATCTTCTTTCTTTAGCTCCATCACCAATTGATTCTTTCTGTCTGTAGTCTTGCCTCTGCCTACACAGTCTTACTTCCTTTAGATACCCTGATTCTCCGTCATTATTCTGGCCTGTCCAGCACCATTCTGTCTCTCTTCCTTTTCACATTTTTGCCACCAGCATGTAGACATTCTGGGCCTTTGGCCTGTAAGGACCAAACCAGTGGTCCATTTCATTAGCCACTTAATGCCTCACCCCCATCTCCATTGCCCTTGTGCTCTGAGTACTTGAATATAATTATGGGGGAATGGCTTATCTGGAGTGTGACTTGTAATTAGGATCAATAGGTCCAACATTACTAAAATGTTTCACAGTCTCAGTGGCTCCTGATCTTGAAGGTCTAGATTTCTTAATATGATTTTACAAGCTACATGCAGAAAGAGATGTGTCACTAACCTTTGTTAACAAAACACATGCTCTAACAAGGCTAGTTATTGCACTGTATATAGATAATCAGTTGTTCTTTTTCTGTCATACTTCAATTAAAAATACATCTTCTGTCCACTTTTAAAATAGCTGCATTTTAACATTACTGTATTATCTGGAAACACTAGAACATTCAAATCTTTTAAGAGGTTAAATAAATTGTATCTGTACATATGCATACATGCTACAACACTGATTTGGGTTTGTCCAATATCTGCAGTTGGGCAGATAGAGATATCAAAATATTCTATAGCTTAACTGCAATTTCAATACTGCTACTTTTCATAAAATATTTTAGCCATAATGAATTAAAAGTAAATTTACTTTTTCTGGCATTTCAAGGAATCATTTTGTGTTTTGAATTGTTTGGCCCTCTGAGGTGAAATAACAGCATAAATATCTTGCATAAAAACCAAGATCATCACTCTTTTTCACTGCCTATCAAGCTGTTTGTGCTTAACCAAGCATTTATTTATCAGTTCTTAATGGTAAGGTCATACAAGGTTACTACACCTGAGAGAAAAATATGTTAGACAGGCATTCTAATTAATCACAAGGAGGGTTCAAGAAGGTCTAGTTTCTGCATGTAGAAAAATTTATGAAGTCTATTCCAAGTGTGGATCAGTAAAACGGCAGCTAATGCATTGTTTCTTTCAGTGTCAGCTTTTGGGGACTTAAGCTTGTCATTCTGTGCTTGAGCACACAAAGAAAAATATATAAGATTTGCCAACCCACAATGGATATGTGTCATAACAATCCAGGGAGTGGTTGATGGGGCAAAAGATAAGGCTTCAACAGTAAACTTGGAACTATTTGACCATCTCATGTGTTTCCTACATCAGGCTTCCCCAACTTGATGGCCTCCAGTTATTTTTGACTACAACTCTCACCATCCCTGACCATTAGCCATGCTTTCTGGGGCTGATGGGAGTTTGATTCCAAAACATCTGGGAGGCATGAGAAAGGTCGGTCTGCTCTGATGGGCAGCAGCTTTCCAATGTCTCAGGCAGAGACATATTTTACAGCACTTGCTATCTTTTAATTAGAGATGACAGGGATTGAACCTGTGGCCTTCTGCACTCACAGCGTGAGTTCCTCCCATAGTCCTGTGGTTCTTTCCCTCTGAATACATGTTTGGATTTGGATTTGATATCCCGCTTTATCACTACCCTAAGGAGTCTCAAAGTGGCTAACAATCTCCTTTCCCTTCCTCCCCCACAACAAACACTCTGTGAGGTGAGTGGGGCTGAGAGACTTCAGAGAAGTATGACTAGCCCAAGGTCACCCAGCAGCTGCATGTGGAGGAGCGGGGAAGCGAACCCGGTTCCCCAGATTACAAGACTACCGCTCTTAACCACTACACCACACTGGCTCTCATGTCTTACTCTACTGAATCTGGATTTGAAGAACCATCCTTATGTGAAGCACAGGCATCTGCCTGCAGTCATCCTGCTTTTATTTCCAAATTAAAATCAAAACAGCTTACAAAAATGTAGTAAAATGCAGTAAAAAGAGCTGGATAAAACAATTCAGCATAAAACCAGGGAGGCAGCTGAAAAGAGAGTGAGCCAAGCAAACATCTCTGGGGAAATAGTTTCACAACCTGGTTCCTGTAACAGAAAAAGCCCTGTCTTGTATCACAGCCAGTTGTAGTTCCAAAAGTGGTGGTTGGGAAGGGTTGTATGGGAAGAGGTGGTTCTTCAAACAGTCTGGTCTCAAAATGTTTAAAACTTTGTAGGTAAGTAACAGCACTTTGAATTGTACTTAAACATGAACTGGCCAGTGCAGATGAAACAGTGACCAGATTGCTCGCATTGATCCACTTTCTTATAAAATATGGGAACTACCTATGAACTCATGTGTCTCTCCAAAAGTTTGAACTTTTGTCACCTGGATTTCTTGAATCACTTTCCTTCTTTTCTTCCAGTCCTATAAGACCTGCTCTTACCCACACAGATCCTGGATTTCAACAGATATTCCATTAACTAAATTAAGTTTCCTGAACCTCTGTCTCCTTATAGCTCCTCCCACTCACACACCATCCTTAAGCCCTGAGTGGCTCTCAGATGCCACTGGCATTCCAGTCCTGTCCCTTCACGTTTCTATATAGATCATAGAATCATAGAGTTGGAAGGGACTCTGGGGGTCACTTAGTCCAACCCCCTGTAGTGCAGGAATCCTGCCCACAGCCGTCTTGGGGTGGGCTTGAACCACCAAGCTTTTGATTAACAGCCAGACACACAGACTCATTGTGCCACTATGAAACAATGAATGAGCATGCATAGCCTGTACAATTTTTTTTTTTAAAAAGGTGATGGTAAATTTTTATCTAGCAGTCTGGAATAAACACAATAAGAAATCAATAACAGCATGTGTATGGGAACTTGAGTTAGGGCTTAACACTGGCTCAGTCAACAAAACTGAGTGCCATTGGTCTGTGTCTTGACATTTCTGGGAAGCCAGGAACATGAATGTGAGTGCTGGGTCTCCAGAAAGGTATGATACTTTGTTACTGTGAGGAAATAATAGGTGGCATGCTGTGAGGAAGGATGGGATGCAGAGGCAATGGGATGTAGCAGGATGAGACCATTCACATGTGAGTGTGTGGGCTTAAAGAATGTTGTGAAATTGCCTTATGACATATGTATTCATGTACATTGGACAATATTAAAAGAGAGGATTTGCCAGTGGTTATATGAATACTATTTTTAAAAAGCATTTGCAACACTTGCTGGAAGCATCAATTGACAGTTTATGGAAAACTCATTTAAATATATATTTAATTAAAATGTTTTCTTTTAATAGTTCTTAAGCCTTTTGATGCACAGACTGTGTAATTACGGTCTTTAGAATGATTAGATAAATGCTTGCTTTATAATTTACTTTTCCTGCAACTGTGTTTTCATGCAGGTTATCTTTATCTTGGGAGGCATATTTCATTTTGTGTCAGTTTACCCTCCCCCTCCATCTACAAAATGCTTTATCTGCGGAATATGTTTAAATATGCATGCTACTTCTACTATTGGATAATACTGTAATAGTACTGTTAAAATCAACCAAAGAAAGGCAAATTAGTTTGTTTTTGTTACAGATGAAACTAAATTGTTCATTTGTTGGCCAAAAGTAAATTACAGACTAGCAAAAATGACTAAAAATGTGGGTTGGGTCTTTTGTGTGAGGAAATTACCTGAAAAATTACTGCATTAGGTACACTAAGCATGGTATTATCAGAATCTGGTTCACTGCCACAACATAAAGAGAGAGCTCCCAGCAAATTTGAGAAAATAAGGAGGCTACAGAGGAAGCAATTAAAAGAGATGCCTTAAAAACTATAATAGACTGTTCTTTCCTCAGCACTCGTACACTCAAAGATACCTGGGTTCTCAAACTTCTAGAACTGTACCAAGCACAAGCTACTTTCCAACTTTTCCTTGGATGTTTCCCATCACAAAGTTTGCTCATAGGAGATTAATTCTGAGAAATGTTATGTAGCAGAGAATAGCATTATTTTATAACATTTCAACAAAAAGCAAGAAGATGCAAGAGTGAGCTATTCCTGCCTTTGTTGCCTAGACTGCTAATGTGTTCTTTTAAAAAGTAAGCTGGGATGCTTAGCCGTGTGAATCAGACAGCCCCTTCAGTGTTGCCTTACTTACTTACTTACTTACTTACTTACTTACTAGATGTGGGGATCCACAGTTAGGTTCCTCATGCCACTATTAAGAAAAACATTGTTATGATCAATGTTTAAAATAATAAAACTATTCTAAAACAATTAAGAATACAATAGCAAACTTTTAACTTTATTATTATTATTATTATTATTAACTTAATACAATAGCAAACTTTTAATGTTGTATCATTTTAATGTTGTTAGCCACTCTGAGCCCGGCTTTGGCTGGGGAGGGCGGGATATAAATAAAATTTTATTATTATTATTATTAACTTAAGAAAGGAGGAGTGTGGGAGACAGCTTGCTTAAGTAATTTGTTCTCATTTGTTACTTCTTTCACATAACAACTCAAAAAAAAGGTATTAGTGCACTTACACTATAAATATAGTCTTCTACTGTGCTTTGGAGTATTTTTATATCTTGGCAGCTGTGTAGCATAGGAAAGGCAGGGAGTGACACTGAGGTCCAGCTCTGAGGGCCTTCTGGCGGTTCCCTCACTGCGAGAAGTGAAGCTACAGGGAACCAGGCAGAGGGCCTTCTCGGTAGTGGCACCCGCCCTGTGGAACGCCCTCTCATCAGATGTCAAGGAAACAGACAACTATCTGACTTTTAAAAGACATTTGAAAGCAGCCCTGTTTAGAGAAGTTTTTAAAGTTTGATATTTTATTGCTTTTTATTGTTGTTGTTGATATTCTGTTGGGAGCCGCCCAGGGTGGCTGGAGGAACCCTGCCAGATGGGCAGGGTATAAATAACAAATTATTATTATTATTATTATTATTATTATTATTATTGCTCCTGTAATGCCGCCATGCTCCAAAAGATACCTAGCTGTTTCCATCTTTCAGCATTGGTGAATTACTAGCGTGGAACTTTGATACAAAGACCAGTAGCACATATTTCTGTAGCATGATGGGCTGCAAGACAGACGTTTTCAGAGATTCATTCATGTTGTGCTGGAATATCTTTTTAAATGGTTTCCACACACACACACACAAACAAACACACACACATGTTTGCAGAAAGGTGGTCACTGTATGATGAGTTGCATCTTCACAACCCTTGCATGCACCAAACTGTTATTCATCTGTGTCTGCTCCAGAGTAAAGGTCAAGTTCTCTGCCAAAATGTTCCTATCGTTCCACCTGTTTGAAATAGTCAAGTGATGATGATGTTTGTTGTGAGTGATGTTCATTTATATTCAAACGATGATGATATTATTTCTTTCATTTATGAATCATTTCCTATGAAACATCATGAAGTGATTTCACAATACAATAAAAACATTGATGAAACAACTGTATCTATAGAAAACAGTTTCAAGTACATATACTGACCGGGATGAAAATATTGGAAGAAGGGAGTCTTCAATAGGCACTGAAAAGAGGACACTTGTCTGATATGTAACGGGAGGGAGTTTCACCACATGTCATGTGGAACAGGTCTCCTAATAAGACAGTATCTGCAGGATGTACTCTCTTGAAGAGTGCAGTGATTGGTAGCAGGATCCTTCAGAGCTCAGATTTTTGTCCAACCATTTTTACCCAAAGGACTGTATGGTTACAGCACTTTGTTTTATGCAGATCTCCAAGGAAAAGTGGGTCTTACAGCCCAGTTTGCATTTCTATTTTCTTTTTTTCTGGAGTTCAATCCATATGAATTGGGAATTTTTACTTCACTTCTTGTTCAGTGGATTTTTCAAAAAAATACTTTTTAGTTCTCTTGACTATAACCTAAGTCTAAAGAGAAGCTGATCTTTCAGATTGTTTACATACGGGAGGTTGCTGCAGAATCATCGCAAAGGCTTTCAGAAATTGTTGTTTTAGACAATAACCATATTTTAAATTATTGTTCCCAGTTAAACATCGAGTATTCTCCACCGGAATTTGAAGGGCCTTCTGTTGCCGTTTCCAGAGAAGTTTTTGTCCTTGAGCAGCTACATGACCCTTGATGTCCATGTTCATTTATCACTGTGTATTAAATTCTCATTCCATTGGAATCACAACACTGCTGAGTCTTCTGCTTGAGCACTTTGTCTGCCAATCTCTAGATTGGCAAGTTTGCAAACCATCCATATGAGTTTGCATCCGGAATCTACAAAGAAGACAATGGTGTTGCTTATTTGTAGCTGTTGTTGTTCATATGGTCCTCTAAAGGTCATGTATTCTGCCCTCCATTCTTACTGTAGAAGCTTGACCTCTATGCTGTGGCTCCAGCATGGTCAAGTAAGCATGGAATAGGTTGCATGTTCCATCTTGCTGAAACACATAGAGTGCTGAAAGTACATTTACTCTGAGAAGGGGGCAGGAGTGGTCCTTAACTTCAATGCTTCTGAAAGGTTCTGTGCTATAGCTTGCATGTATGTATCCATAAACAAAGGACCACTCCAATAACAACAGTGCAGGGAAGAAGTAGCTCTACTGAACCCTTCCGGAGTTTTTCAGGATCAGCTCTCTTTCCTTACAAGGTATTGGTATTTTATATAAACATATAGAACAACCACCCCTAACCTGGGGCCCTCCATATGTTTTGGACTACAGCTCCTATCAGCCTTTAACCATGTTGGCTGGGGCTGATGGGAATTGTAGTCCAAAATATCTGAACACAATCAGGTTGAAGAAAGCTGATATAGATCATAATGCTATCAAAGCTGAGCTCATGTGAGTCCTATTAATATGAATGGAAGCGCTAAACATGTGCTTAAGACTCACCTATTGAAATCAATGTGACTTAAAAATGCTTAACTTTGGCTGGATCATACCTGTTGTTTGTGGCAAAATTATTTCCACCACACTCCTGTTAATTAAAGTTGTTGTGATAAATTTTTCATAGCATTTGCACAGCATGGTGGCTACTTTATTCATAAACAAGATATTCAATAATGGCACCGTGACATGATCCAAGCATCTCTAGTACCAATTTGGACAGCAGATTTAATTTAATTTAATCTTCAAAAATTCTAATTTAATCCTAAATAAAGATTGTGCCAGTTATAGATTTAAAAGACATCTAAAAGCCACATTGTTGTTAATTTGAAATAACACTGGTTGAAAGTTGGCTGTCTGACTGATGGAGACAGTATTTTAAAATGAATTCATTCATATTACTTGAACTGGTACATCACTAATTTTTTGCCAGCTGCTACTGCCAAAATAATGGTTATGCATTTTGGATATGCTAATAAAGGCATGTTCCATTCTGGACATCTCTTGAGTTATAACTGTTGAGTCCCATCTTCCATTTGAACATAGAAACATGCTTTTTATTCATTTTGGAGCAGTAATGATAATTTGTTCCCTTGACTCCTGCTGTATGTTATGCTTTTGGGTTACTTTAAACTCAATAAAGCAATCATTTCTAAGAAACATGCAAGTTATATTTGATCAGTTTCCAGTATTTCATATTCCAGTATACATTGGCAAAACTGGGCACAAAATATGTGCATTTTAATTTTGGGAGGGAAAATGGGTCCAAATGTGATCTTGGGGACCAATATCAACATAAGAGCTATCATTCAATAAAGGACGCTGAAAAGTAATTGGCCCTAATCCAGCTTCAGTTACAGGCAACTAGTCATGCATAACAATTGGTGGCCCTAGCTGCAGATGCACTTCCCCATTGGCATAAAAAGATGCATCCAGCCACTTTAATGGGGCTCAGATGGGGATATGCATCCAGAAATGCACCATCAACAGGCACAGAAGGCTGTTTCTGCATATGGATCTCTCTTGCTGGGCGCAAGCAATACCTTTTAAGTGAATGAACAGGTTTTCAAATAAAGGGTGTCTTCATCATACACTAGCAACCTATTTATATTTGTACCAAAATTAAGTGTTTTAGGTGCTCTCTCTAAGTCCTTTCTAGTTGCGTTATCCCTTAAAATTTAGTCTTATACTTGAAATGGGCAACAAATCATTTTGAAATACTTTCTGTTGCTCAAAATATCTGAGTCAACATTCAAGTAAAGGGTGCAATTCTTGTTATTAGGCTTCTTCTACAGGACACATTAAGGGACAGAAAAAGAAGCCATCCAAATTTAGGATATTTGAGATGGTGGTAGAACAACGTATACTATTAATATGGCTGGATGCTTGAATCATTGTGCTATATCAAAAGGAAGAACCAAACGGCTACAATAGTAAAATAGAGAATCCATATTTTAGATTGAATAGTAGTATTGTAGAGGGGCAGCCTTGCTATATAATACACATTGGTATTCTAGGGAGCTGCAGATGGTGAAACAAGCTGGACAATGGCTTGAGTGCTAGCTGCATATATCTCATTTGAAGGCCAACCAAGCACTGTTTAGAGTTCATAATTGAGTCTACAAATATGGGCAGAAAAAAGCTTCTCTTGCATCCTTGTCCAGCTGAGCTTTTCTGTGATGTCTGGAGTGTTGTTTTACCTACTGGAGGCCTCCTGTCCTGACCCATCTTTTTGAGGATGAAGTGGCTTGACCTTGTGGCAATTTAGATGTTACCATTAGTGTCCAGTGATAAACCTACTTCAGTTTTGTGGGATCAGTTTTAGTTTATGCAACCTGAAGACACAGACAGGGGTGCTCACAGGGATGCACCCAACCACTTGCACTCTGGATATGTGCCCATCATAACTGGTACAATCAATGGGTTGACCAGGTGTGTCTAAGGTTGGTGAACTCTTCTTTGCATGATGAAACAGTGCCTGCTGTCTTAAAGGAGGTGGGTTGTGTGGCTGCTACTGTAGCCTGTGGATACTCTTTGATCTATATTTGTCACTAGAGGCCTGAGTAAGTTCTGTGGCCTGAAATGCTTTTACCAGCTTCAGCTGGTACACCAGCTGTGACTATTGCTGGAACCAGGATAGCCTGACCATAGTGATCCATACATTGGTAACCTTAAGATTTGATTACTGTAACAAGCTTTATGCTGGGCTCCTCTTGCAGCTGGTGCAGAATGCAGCTGCCAGACTGCTCATAGGAGCTGGCTACTGGCAACATGTTACTCCTATCCAGAGAGGACTGCACTGGTTGCAAATTTGCTACCAAGCCAAGATTTTTATGTAAATTCACAAAGCACTATTCAGCTTAGACCCAAAGTGCTATCTGATTTCTTTGATC